TGAAGGCTCTTTACAAGTTTCAAGCTGATGCTTTGTTAACTTGTAAAAAGCCTTCAGCCTTGCGGTTCACTGCCGATATCGGCTAACCGGCTCATCACGTTGAACGTGTGAGTGCTGTAAGGCTATGGCACAAATAGCCATTGAGCTGAGTGGTCAAAAGTGGCCTCGGTAGCGAGTATAGGGAACGCATCGCACGGGAAAGAAGCCGGAACGATGGGGGGCTCGAATCCCGCCCGTGGTCCGACTTTTGCCCATAACTCAGCATTCTTGTGATGGTGGTGAGTGTATTTAAAAAAAGAGCAAGCGACTGGGGATCGCGGCTAAAAAACCACGGGACGTTAGATCAGGGCACCTCATCGTTGGGAATTCCCAACAGGGGTCGTATTTGTTTGCTGGGGGGAGGTGAGGGAGGGCTCGTACTTGGTCTGGGAAAATTTGTTTCACAGTTGAATTCGCTGCTTAGTGAACATGAAGTCTCATCAGGGAAAATGAAGTTTTTGGTGGTGCTAAGAAGACTTCCAACCCCCTCATCCACAGGTAAGTGGTTTTCTTTCCAAGGTTGGTGTCATCAACTATGGAAGTACGTCCAGCGATTATGGAATGCGAATAAAACTTACATGAATCACACAGTCGGGCGCGGGTGCGCGAAACTACAGGGGCACCTATCGCACGGTCGTTGGAACTAGGGTTGATCAGGTTGGTGAACCTTCTGTAATACTTTTGGCTTATGTGTTTCTACAGCAGAAAAAAGGAAATCGCGGTGGATGTCGCTTTGATTTATGTTCGAATCAGTGTGGTACTGCAGTAGGAACTCTGAAGGAAAAAGCCCTACTTCAGTTACACAATCATTGGAATAGAACTGAACGGCTGAGGAATCTAGGATAGATTATGGAGTTGTCACTTCCAGGAGGGATGCTCCAGCCTACAAATGAAAAAGTACGGACGAAAAAAAATGGTTGACGTACCTCTCACCCTTCCCTTCCGTCGTGGTCTTACAGCTGGGAATTTTTTTGTGCGCATGCCCTTCCAGAATTTCTTTCCTGATTGCAAAACCGACGGCTTAATGATCTCATCGTCATTACTATAAGTATTTGTCCTTGCCACAGATGACTTTGTCATCTAAACGGTGGGACCGTCAGCCTGTGAAGACAGCGATTCAGTCAAAAGATTGAGCCATTTTGAGTCAGAAGTGCACCTAACAACGCACAAAACAAGCAATAAACTTTATTTTACTTGATTTAGGCTTGTATGCTGTGGGTAACCTTCTGTGTGACGTTCTTACTTGTGCCTATTTACGCAGTCATGTATCTCTGTCGATGGAAGATTTACAGTACGTTGTCGAGGCCGTCTTTCGTACAACATCACACTACTACAGTTTGTATTCAGAGACTTGTAAAGGTAAGCAGTATTTAGCCTGACGCTGCTTGGAGCCTGTAACGCTCTTCATAAACGCCTCGTTGGTGAATTAGACTGCCGTGTGGTCCGACAGTGACAAGATGCTCAACACACTCAAAATAATGCTCTGCTTCCTATGGTTTATTTCGTATGCAAGTCCACAATGCAGAACGCTGACGCGACGAAGAAAAACTGAAGGGGACAATATGAAGAGGTACCAAGGGTGTCGTACTCAGTCGTTGGGAAGAGGGGTCGTATTTTTTTCGGTTGTTGACGTTGTTCGGTTGTTGACGTTGACGATTGCTGACGCCTTGCGCTATGTGTGTACAGCCGCCCCGGTCGAAGATGGTTTTCTGCGAAAAACTGGAGGGAATCCGAGAAACCTCTGGAGAATTGGGAAGAAAATGGGTGACGGAATTCATAGCTCTTGCGAGTCACAGGACTATATGTGATATTGGTACCAGGTATGGTAAATGGGCAGAATGGAAACGCTGACGCATGTGACAATAAGTAATGGCAGCTATTAAAGTATTGTCGTTAAAGGGGAAAAGTAAGTGGCTATGGATTGACCCATGCAGGTTTACGCGCAGTGTTGTAATACTTTATACCTTTGCTATCCTGTACTTATTGTCCTGTTCTCTGACAGAAGGGTAAACTTCCCAGCAAATGAGAACTAATTAAGGCCCAACAAGTGCTCACCGACGATAGAGAGAATAGAGTTTGTGGCTACCTGAGGACTTTGGAAGCCTACTGCTTTTTTCATACCTCTTAGTGCATAACTTTCGTACCTAGGCTCCTGTGTACAAACTCACCCGTGCGCGTATGCGGCGCGGTTTCTTCACGGCACCGCGGCGACGGGCGGGCGAAGGGTGATCGCTTGCGCCTCCGCCACTGTGCTTCAATCAGAAGCCCCTTTTATGCCCCATTATGTGGAAGGAGGAGGAGAGAAAAGAGGATTGAACAAATAGTGAACGCTCATAGGTGAGTTAGTGGTAATGGTGAGCAGAGAATACAGAAAAGTCGAGAATCAGAGCGTATTATTTCAGTCAACAGCGGAACTGGCAGAATGATTCCCTTCGAATGGGACGTGACGTTATAGCGTTATAAGGTCACAACCAACTGTTGGCAATTTGCCAAACCTCAGCTTGAACTTTCGTGTAAAAGCTGCTTGCGTCGTTTTCACAATCGAAGGGAACTATGCCGCCAGTTCTGCCATTCACTGAAGTTTCGTGATAGTCGACTTTTCTGTGATCTCCTACCACTACCACTAACTCACATATGCACCCACTATCTGTTCAATTCCCTTCCTCTCTCTACTTTTCCCTCCTCTTCCTTCCACATAAAAGAGGCTGCTGGATTGGAGCACAGCGCCGGAGACGCGGGCCATCGCCTTTCGCTCCGCCCTGCCGCCGCGGCGCCGTGAAGAAACCGCGCCGCATACGCGCATGGGATAAGTTTTTCCCGCCTTTGTTGTACCTTTAACGCACGCTACCCATTCATTTTTAGGCACTCACCGTGCAATCGATAATTCCACTGTTCACTGTCTTTCCTGCTTCGATATCATTTATGTTGACACAGTTTGGAATGGTTCACTACCATTTTTATTGCTACTTCATCACATCATGTTTGAGTCTTGGTAAGTGACTTTATCAAATTCCTCACATTAATCACGGATAACTGTCTTTCACCTAACAGCAAATTTAAAAACACGTTCCACCACTGAGCAGAGTTACCCATTGATGACGGAGGCGGTGCCTCAACGATTGCCTCATTAATGGTAGGTCCATATACACCCAGCGTTCACTTTCGTAGGCTCTCTGACAAAGCGGTTTGGCCGAGATCCCTCAGTGGCCTCAAAGTACCGGCCACAGAACTTGAGCGGAGGTTCCACTACTTAAGGACACTATCACCGCATGTATTCCAGCGTCCGAGTCTTTGTTAAGACTTATGTCGTCATTCTTGCAATTTTTGATTCATTGGGGACCTGTGGCCACACAGAGCGCAGACAGGGTCTGCAGTCTTGAAGGCACATTTCTCGATAGCAGTTCGTAAACAGTGCTGTTTGAAAACAGTTCTATCGGTGCTAGCTAATTCACAAGTGGAATAAGAAGCAGAAGGACTGCTCTCATCTTCTCCTGGTTGGTGAGCAGAACTAACAATCAGAAAGTGTTCTCACGGCAGAGTATCCCTCCTGCAATCAAGTACGACCCCTTGTACTTTTTTTACCACAACGTAGCACACATCGATGCGGCCAGGCAGGGTTTCCCAACCAAAATGGTTGTGATGACAATTGCTGTATTGCAAATCCTCTTAATATCTCGGATTCACCTCTGAAGGTGGGATACAACAGGACATACTCTAAATTTTTTTGGTACTGTCAGTTTCGGCTTTGAAATTTCAGTTTTCAGCCACTCTCATCGATCCAGTTGTGACGATCTACTACGTGAGTCCGTATCGGCGATTCGTCAAACGGTGTCTAGGATGGAGCCGGAAGAATTCGAAAGAGACAAGGTTGAAGCGTGTATCATCGGAGAGGACGAGCAGTTTTCGGAAGTCCTTCAAAAAAGTCCTGCAGATTCCCGATTTCCACAATCCTGCAGCTCTGTGATGAGCTAAAAAGGCGACTCATTATAACGCTTCTTCAGCAACAGAGTTGCAAATGTGCTTTCAGCCTATTCCTTTCAATTTCCTGACAGGTTTTCCAAGAATTGTGGAATACACAGTTGTGATTCTTCCAAGCAATAGTGCGGTGGCCGGGCGTTTGCCGGAGCGCTGCTAAGGCGGCTTTCTGTACCAATAATACAATTCCCCTCCGCAATAGTTGGCGGGAAAGCTTTTCTGGCTGCGCTCCAGTTTTCCGCTTCGACACCGCATCAATTGCAGGGATCGTGACTATTCATCTAATTAGGCGGCGATAAAGATTGTGACTCAGAATTCCGTGACAACAGGCGGGACTCTTCCTGACTTCCCGTAGAACTGATTCATGGAGACGTCGAGTGCACGCAGCGCATCCGAGTGTACGCGTAGTCGACAGCTGACTTCGGGTGTGGGAAGGTAAGGTTGACGTCGCTATAGCTTCCTTATCTCGCTGAAGCTTATTCCACCGCTAGACGCTAAACCGCGCACAAGGATTTGAGTGAATGGTGAAAAGTACATCGACCAGGGTGTGCAAAGGTGGTTAACACAGGCTGACAAGAACAATTGAAACTTGGGTAACTAAACCGGCCTAGGCGTAGCTGTGTGCGTTCATGAGGCCGAGACATTTCATCTCGCGTGCAATTTTCGGGAGTTCTCGGTTCCACCTATTTTCCTGGACTTATAATCTTGTAGTTTATAAAGTTTTGCAAAGTTTTAGAATTCCGACTGAGCGGGTACTGTTCTGATTCCGGTCTCTATTTTATGTTCGTTAGGATCTGCTCTCCTTTTATATCTTGAATGATAGTTGTTTTGTGCTTTTGAATGGATTCACGAGTTCAGAGTAATATAAAGTCTGTTAAACTCTGGCATGTTCAGGCATCTCCTCTATTACATATTTTTAATGGACAATAACTGTCAGCGATAACGAGCGCTGTACTCTAGAGTATTCTAGCAATTACTGTGGAACTCTTATTAGAAGTTGAAGTCACAGGGAAACAGGTGTCTTACGAAAATTTTCAAAACAGTGGAGCTGTAATAGAGAAGACGTAGGATGATTAACGGTGACCGCGAGGAAATGAAAATTTACTCATCATGAGAATATCACTTCAGATTTCCTGCAACTTTCTCATATTAGGCATTTTCACATGAACACTAGTGAGTGCAACACATGCTTTCTCTTCTAATGACTTTCCATTTTTTTCCCTTTTAATAAATGGTTCCGGACACTTTAAACCTTCTTGTAGTCGACATGGTATGAGAACAAAGCTACTCTTTTTTTCATCATTGCCCCTTGAGTGCACATGTGGCTGCTATGAATTTGCTGATACTATTCAGCAACTTCCTGTGCTCTTCATCTGCCGTTCTTCCTAGCACTGGACTGAAGTGAAGTTTGACAGAAACTGGAATGACTGAAGCGAGCACTTCAGCAACTGCGACAAACTTGGAAGTTACCGAGGATATTGGAAGACCTGCAGAGATATGCACTGGTTCTCTGAATTACCGGCAATCATTGGACAACCTTTACTTCTAGGAATCATTCAGTTCCAGAGTTCAAATCATTGTGAATTCAACATCACCTTCCAGTGGTGTACAAATCATAAATAAAAACGCATACGCAGCGGCTGTTGCCAACCTCGTGTAGGTACTGCTGTCTTTCAGCAGTGAAGAAAGCTGAGCTATAAGCAAAATATTTAACTTCAAAAGAGGCTCAAACTCGCGTTCATCAAGTGCGTGCGCTTTCCGTTTGGCCACCGAGTTCACCTCTCTATCAGCTTAATAGCTTTGAGGCTATATCATTTGAGACATCAGTCCGCTTACCCCCAGACTGAAAATCCGAAACCTAAAGCTACAATGACAATACGCGCCAGCCAAAGCACACTCTCGGATTGCGAGCTTTTACAGGCGGGATTGAAATTGCATAACTTCCAGCTCAAAGGCTCTCCGCGTTCAACCAGTTCCCAACCCTGTAAAAATAGTCCATGTCGTCAATCCTGTGGCACAGAAGAGCCCGGGAAGTTGGTAAGACATCGATGATTCGTCTGCGATAACGGGCGAAACGGATCATCTGTGCTTTGGAGTGTACGCCTTTCCTCAATATTTATTTTTCTTTATTTCTAATAGTCTGACTCTGAGGCTGCCCCTTTTCCGCAGCTCCACAGTAAGGCGTTGTGGCCATTGTAATTGGCACTTCTGACACCTCACTAGTTGGCACGCAATCTGAAACTCGAGAACTATTTCTGTCACGAGGGTTTCAACGCACCGTTCCTCATTTTTTTCGCTTCTAATTGGTTGACGAGAAGAAATGATAAGTGAGCCAGAGGCGACAGGAGATCGCTTTGAATAAAGCGAGCATGTCGGAGAACTCGTACGGAGAGGCTATCAGGGGTCCTCACCTAGGGTGTTCTCCATCAATTTTCTTTGCTGTTTTCTTGCCTGAGAAATCACTCAGCGACTATATTTTGTAACTAAACGCCACTATCCATAATAGCAGCCGCGATATTGTCTTATAAGCCCCTGTCACTAGCAGCCAAGCATGACCTACGATGCTTTTCCCTGGGTAATAGCGGCAATGGCTCAGAATGCTTCTCTGAAGGCACGTTTCCTAATAAAAAAACAATGAGTTCTCGGACACGAATACTGAAGATAATGCAGTAAGTAACTCAACTGTGCTGAAAGAGAATCTCACAAATTCTGAATCAACGCTTCCCAGTTGATTCCCGCTGAAACGATTCGCCGGTACTCTATAAGAGAGCTCTGTCTGTCCGAATGGAGGCAGACCATGTATGGAAAAGTTGTTTGTCAGAGCAAATGTGAAGGAGTCTCTCAGTACGCTGACGTGAAAGCAATTTTCTTAACACATTGACGACAATCGCGTTTGGCTGGAGAGTGCCGCGTGGGACAATGGCGTTTTCCCGCAAACGTCCGCTATGAAGCATCGCTTGGCTCATGTTGCCCTTGTGAACCACTTTTTGCCATTGCGTCAAATTTCGCAAAATGATTGAGCAGTCTTGCGGGGAGTGCTATTCCCACCATCCTTGGATAGTCTCAACCCCGATCCCTTGATCACGATCTTTATTCAGCGCGATCATGGCTCAGATTTCCTACTATCACTTCTGTTTTTGTGGCCTTTTTGCTTTTTCACATCATTTATACATCAATAAATCATGGACGGCCGCACCTACACACTTTTTTACATGATAGTTCATCAGAGCTCTGCTAAGACTGAGCCCAGGAGGGTTTGTTTTTCTTCAATACTCAGCCTTGACAGTGCGCGGATAACCAGATGCTTCACGTATACCGCCGCCAAAATACACGCAATTTTTCTCATCAGGATGTCAGAATTCCGCAGTGTGCACGTGTACATCGATTTTCGTTAAGATTCGTTCGTTAGGACTTGTTGCTCGCCAAGTTGGCGCTCATTGGCGCCACATGGTGAGAGCTCTAAAAAGGAAGAACATGTTTGTAATGAGGGTGCCAATTAATGCAGATTTAAAAGTTTATATTGAATTCAGTAATAAAAGCAACCCAGTGGCGTCAAATTGGTGCCCCTTAGCGTCAGCTGGAAAGGATGAAGCACGGACTCGAACAACCCACGTATAAGAGTTCATATGTATCTAACTTGGTGCGAAAAAGACTGTTAGCGGCAGGCGCCTACTATCGCCATATAGGGCCAATGACAAATGCGACGTGACATTCGTGATCAGAGCCTCGAACAATCCCCGTAATCAAACTTTCACTCAAAAAGAGGCCTTTTGACCTTTGAGGTTTCTGACATAAATTATAAAAAGTCCCTAATTAAAATTTCTCATGAAGGCGGCATCACTTTCTCGCTCTTCACAGTTGCAGATTTACCTTGTACAAATTATCATTGGAATACAAGAAAAAGATCGCTATGAACTGACAGCAATAACTCAAAAGTGGTTCAAACTATTATGAGCCTTTTCCATTGCCAACACTCGTTTGTAATCGTTTGTAAACAACAAAGTTGTAGAATCTACCTTCAGACGAGAACTGGCAGTGGGCAGAAGGAATAAAATATCAAGTTGGGTTCGGAACGAGAAAATGCCATTCATCAGGATTATCTCCTCGTGAAAGTTCAATTACTGAGAATTTTCCTTAGAAAAAGAACAGTGAAAGGGAAACATTGATATTAGGCAGTATTTCTTTGCGCCGTCCACCACAACCACTGACGAGCCCCGGAGGTCTTCCAAGAAGATGACTTGTCTGCTAAACAGCAAGCTACGAAAAGAGCCAGCCGTTTGCACCTAATGTCTTGCCTTCAACTAAAGTGTTTCCTTTAGTGCTTTTCTTTTTATTCTTTCCCATTGATTAATTACGCCTTCAGGCGACCGGCAGGTGTGGCAGTAAATTGATCGACTTTCACGGAAAAGAAAGTCATTTCAAAAGGACGTTCGGCAAAAGTTTAATCACATCTATTCACGTCAATTGTAACAGAATTGCCCTACATTCATTTTTATTTAATGATTTTTTTCATTGGTTGGTGCTTGTCGGAACTGAGATACTGCCTAAGTGCACTGGATCTTTTATGGTTCGGAATACCTTGCGTGTTCGTAACGGTAGCTCCTACGAATTCTAATTTTGCCACCGTCGCCGTCGCTCATTACTCTACCTGATTCGGTCAATTGAAGATGATTGGGTCAATTGGCCCAATGAGTACGAGTCTTCAGATAGATCATGCTAGCCCTGATTCGAGATATGCTATCGCCCCTGACTTTTTGAAATCGACGGTTTGCCACGGATTGGTCCGTTTTTACGAAAATTGGAGGCGGTATTGTATGTACCAGTTGTGCGTTTTTTAGAAGATTTTCTGCAGCTTCAATTGAGTGTTTTGCCCGGCTCTCAAGTGCTGATTTATCCGCGAGAGTCATGACAAAACAACTTCATATGTTGTTTTATTTGCACATTCTTTCTCCAACTTGTAATATACTCGGGAAAGCGGCTCGCTACTGA